ATATGCAAAAATCACCTTAATTATACTTTGGTGTAAATATGAGAATGGAAATAAATTTTTCACAAAAATGATAATTTTGAGAGCAATTACTAGATTTTGTACTGCTAAAATAGACAATAAATTGATTATAAAAATCTTAAAAATTAGTGAAAAATACCAAAACTCTTGGGCATGCTTATATATGCATACACATGCTATTTTGAAAGTATTTGAGTATAAAAAAAAGACAGAGAAAAAAATTGGGTATCAACAAGTGTCACCCGGGCAGGCTTGCTTCCTGTAGCACCAGCCGTCTCTCGGGCTGGGGGAGGAGCACAGACTCCCGCTACCCGCACTCCGGAGCAAATGGCTCCCCAGTTTCAGACTCCAGCAGCTCAGCCAGTTGGAGCAGTTCAGCCGGGTGTGGTAGCTCAGACCAGTGATGGAGCAGCTATGTCTGCTGATGCCTTGTGGAGATTGGACAGGTCACCGAGCTCTTCACTACCACTTTCAGCGGTGCATCTTCTGAGGATCCCCAAGATTATTTAGACAGCTGTCATGAGGTTCTCAAGAACATGGGGATAGTGGAGACCAATGGGGTCGACTTTTTTGCTTTTCGCTTATCTGGATCCGCCAAGACTTGGTGGAGAGATTATTGTTTGGCTAGACCAGCTGGGTCACCAGCTTTGACTTGGGGTCAGTTTTCTCAGTTGTTTTTGGAGAAGTTTCTTCCTATCACTCAGGGAGATTTATTGGAGGCAGTTTGAGCGTCTCCAGCAGGGTTCTATGACTGTTACTCAGTACGAGACCAGGTTTATTGATTTGGCCTGTCATGCTCTTCTTATACTTCCCGCTGAGAGAGAGAGAGAGAGAGAGAGAGAGAGAGAGAGAGAGAGAGAGAGAGAGAGAGAGAGAGAGAGAGAGAGAGGAGGTTCATTGAGGGACTCATTCAGCCTATTCGACTTCAGATGGCCAAGGAGACGGGGAGCGAGGCAGGGATTCTTTTGGTAGAGGCCATCCTCCTAGGCCTTTTCAGTTAGCACTTCAGGTTTCGCACAGTGCTTTAGGTGGTCATGGTTCTCATATGCAATATTCTGATCAGCAGTCCTACAGTGCACCACCAGCTCCTATCAGTGCACCGCCGCTCCAGAGTTTTCGGGGTGATCATTCAGGTCGTCAAGGTCAGCAGACGAGAGCTTGTTATACTTGTGGCGATACGGGTGATATTGCTAGATTATTCACTCAAGCATCGAGTAGCTCTCAGCATCAGGGTTCCCGTGCCATGGTTCAGGCACCGAGTGCTCCACAGCCCGCTCAGCCATCTAGGGGTGGAGGTAGAGGTGCTAGAGGTGGAGGTAGGGTACTAGAGGTGGAGGTCAGGCCGCTAGAGGTGGAGGCCAGCCAGCAGCAGGCCGTCCCAGAGATGTAGTTCCGAGTGATGGGGCCTAGCCCCAATGTTATGCTCTTCCAGCTAGGCTTGAGGCTGAGGCTTCCGATGCAGTTATCACAGGTACGGTTCTGGTTTGTCGTAGGGATGATTTAGTTCTATTTGATCCAGGGTATACATACTCTTATGTGTCATCTTGTTTTGCACCGTATCTGGTCATGCCTAGTGATTCTTTGAGTGCTCCTGTTTATGTGTCTACACCGGTGGGTGATTCTATTGTGGTAGATCGTGTTCATCGTTCTTGTGTAGTTGTGATTGGGGGTTTTGAGACCCGAGTAGATTTGTTACTGTTGGACATGGTTGATTTTGATATCATATTGGGGATGGACTGGTTATCACCTTACCACGCTATCTTGGACTGTCATGCCAAGACTGTGACCTTAGCCTTGCCGGGGTTGCCTCGTTTAGAGTAGAGAGGGACTCCTGGTCATTCTACCCGTCGTGTTATCTCATATATGAAGGCTCGGCGTATGGTCGAGAAGGGGTGTTTGGCCTATTTGTCATATGTTCGTGATTCTAGTGCTGAGGTTTCTTCTATGGATTATGTGCCTGTGGTTCGTGAGTTTCCTGAGGTTTTCCCTTCAGACCTGCCGGGTATGCCACCCGACAGGGATATTGACTTTTGCATTGATTTGGCTCCGGGCACTCAGCCCATTTCTATTCCGCCGTATCGTATGGCCTCGCTTGAGTTGAAAGAATTGAAGGAGCAGTTGCAAGACTTGCTTGATAAAGGCTTCATTAGACCTAGTGTCTCGCCTTGGGGTGCATCGGTGTTGTTTGTTAAGAAGAAGGACGGATCGATGAGAATGTGTATAGATTACCGGCAATTAAACAAGGTCACAATCAAGAATAAGTACCCATTGCCGATGATTGATGATTTGTTTGACCATCTTCAGGGTGCCCAAGTGTTTTCTAAGATCGACTTGAGATCGGGCTACCATCAGTTGAGGATTAGGGCATCCGATGTCCCTAAGACAGCTTTCCGCACTTGGTACGGGCATTATGAGTTCTTGGTAATGTCATTCGGATTGACAAATGTCCCAGCAGCTTTTATGGATTTGATGAACCGAGTGTTCAGGCCTTATTTGGATTCCTTCGTGATTGTCTTCATTGATGATATTTTGATTTATTCCCGCAGCCGGGAGGAGCATGAGCAGCATTTGAGAGTGGTTCTTCAGACTTTGAAAGACAATCAGTTGTATGCTAAGTTTTCGAAGTGTGAGTTCTGGTTGAGTTCAGTTGCATTCTTGGGTCACGTTATTTCAACAGAAGGTATTCAGGTGGATCCGAAGAAGATAGAGGCAGTCAAGAACTGGCCTCGACCCACATCAGCTACAGAGATCCGGAGTTTCTTGGGTTTGACAGGCTATTACCGTCAGTTTGTGGAGGGGTTTTCATCTATTGCAGCCCCGATGAACAGGTTGACCCAGAAGGGTGCCTAGTTCAAGTGGTCGGACGAGTGTGAGGCGAGCTTTCAGAAGCTCAAGACAGCTTTGACTACGGCACCGGTGTTGGTTTTGCCCACAGGTTCAGGGCCATATACAGTTTATTGTGATGCATCTCGTATTGGACTTGGTGCGGTGTTGATGCAGGATGGCAAGGTCATTGCTTATGCTTCGCGTCAGTTGAAGATTCATGAGAAGAACTATCCAGTCCATGATTTGGAGTTAGCAGCCATTGTTCACGCACTGAAGATTTGGAGGCACTATTTATATGGCGTGTCATGCAGAGGCGGACCTACAGCAGCCCTTGAGGGGTCACGTGAACCCGTTAACTTCGGCAAAAACTCTGTATATATATATTCTATGTATAGCTGTATATACGTTGGGGACCCCTTAAATATTTTTCTTGGCCCCCTCATTAACGAAATTACGCCCTGAGCAATGGTCCGCTTCTAAGCATAAGCCTTGCTCCTTGTCACACGGCGCGGGTTCGAAACCCGTCCGCTACAATTTTTTTTTAAGTTTCTTTTACTTAGTACAATAGTACTATTTATTAGTCACTAGTCAACAGTTGACTAATTAATAATTTTTTATTTCATCTATTCTCAATTCAATTATATTTTGAATTTCTAATAATTGAATAATAGTCAAAAGCCCCAAACATCAAAAACCCCAATTCCCAAGCATCAAAAGCCCCAAACCGCATCTTCTTCCTCACTTCAGCAGACGAGCCGTTAACCCCAATTCAGGTCAATGAAAATCCCAAAAAGAATGTTGAGAGTAATGTACAAAATCAAGAACCTGAAATTATTGATGTTTCAGAGCTAATTTGTTGGCTTCTCGGCAGTCCCCTTCTCGGCTTCTCCAGTTCTTCTTCTTCACTTCTTCCGTTCTTCCTCAATCAAAAATCAAAGCTCACCAGTCGCCTCCACCAGTCCGCCTCCGTCACTTCTCAGTTCTCACTTCAAAATAGAGAAACCTTCTTCCTCAATCTCTGGTTAGTGCTTCTCTTACTTTGAAACTTATTTTTTATTTATAACTTAAAGCTTCTCTTGAAACTTGCTGTTGATTTTCTTTTTAATTGAAGAATTTTTTAGAGGGACTTGAGTTTTATTTTATAGTTATTACTCTATAAAATAGTAAGCATTTAAGTTTCAGAATTCAGTTGGTAAGAAAATAGTTTAAGACCCTATAATAAAATTTTGCAGGTTATCCATAAAATGGCTTCACAAAAGAGTTGTAGTATTAGATTCAATAAGTTGTGGTATTTGTTTTATTCTTGATAAAAGAGGTGTGATTGCTCTATTGATATTGTGTTTGTTTGTATTCTTGATAGACTCTTAAATTTATTGGACTCATTTTTTGTAGGAAGTTCTTGTTCTTATGAATTAAGATGGACGTATTTTTGACGAAGTTTAATTCTTCTCAACCGAGTTCTACTCTTAGAAATAATTTCTCCCATCTTATAGATGAGTTTGATGAGAAATTACTCAATCCCGATCCTGGAGAGAGATTACCCATTGATAAATATAGTCCTAGAATACAGGATGAAGTAAGAAGACACTACATTCAAAACGGACCTTGCCAACCGGTTGATCATAAGTTTCCTAAAACTTTATTCGGTAATAAAATGCGTCAATTTAGTCCGGGTTGGTTTAAAGGTTCGTATTATAGATGGCTGGAGTATAGTGTCAAGAAAGATGCCGCATTTTGTTTATGTTGTTATTTATTCAAAAATGATTATGTTCATGGAAGCACGGGTGATGCTTTCACAAAAACGGGCTTTAAGGCTTGGAATAAAGCTTCGGAAAGACTTCCTTTACATGTTGGTCAAGTAAATAGCCTCCACCACAAGTGTTTCAACAAGATGTTAGACTTATCAAATCAATCTCAATCAATTCAAGTTGCTTTTGATAAGCAATCTGAGAAACAAAGAAATGAGCACCGAATTCGTTTAAATGCATCAATCGATGTTGCAAGGTTCCTCTTGTACTTTGGGTTGTCTTTTCGAGGTCATGATGAAAGTGATTCTTAAAAAAAAATGCCTTTACATAGGGCTTTTGGAATGGCTTGCAAAAAGGCTCCCTCAAGTGGATAGAGTCATATTGAAACATGCTCCAAAAAATGATATGATGACTTCGCCAAAAATTCAAAAGGACATTGTGAGTGCTCGTGCACAAGAAACCGTGAAAGCTATAATCAATGATTTAGATGGGGATTATTTCGGGATTTTAGTTGATGAGTCCAAGGATATTTCATACCATGAACAAATGGCCCTTGCTTTGTGGTATATTGACAAAAAAGGCCAAGTGAACGAGCCATTTATTGGTCTTGTTCGTGTTGGTGATACCTCTGCAAAGTCGTTGAAGAAAGCAATACTTTCTTTGCTTATGAAACACTCATTAAGTCCATCCATAATACGTGGACAAGGCTATGATGGAGCTAGTAATATGCAAGGAAAAATGAATGGTCTTAAAGATTTAATTTTGCAAGAAACTCCTTCGGCACATTGCATTCATTGTTTTGCTCATCAATTACAGTTGACGCTTGTAGCGGTTGCTAAAAAACATAAGGAGGTGGAAATTTTCTTTGCTATAGTTGCTAATGTGTTGAATGCGATTGGAGTATCCTTTAAACGTAGAGATAAACTTCGGGACCATCAAGCAGAATTATTGGAGAGATTGCTAGAGAATGGTGAAGTTTAAAGTGGGAAAGGATTAAATCAAGAACGAGGGCTTCAAAGGCCAGGCGACACTCGTTGGGGATCACATTGTAAAACATTAGATAACTTTGTTGTTTTATTTGCATCTGTTGTTCATGTGCTTGGGGTGATTGAATATGAAGGTTCTGAGGCTAATGATAGATTGCAAGCAGAAGATTTTTTTAGTAAAATCAATTCATTTGAATTTGTGTTCATGCTTCACTTGATGTTGAAGGTATTGTTGATGTCGAACGAGCTGAGTAAAGCTTTACATAAGAAAGAGCAAGATATTGTCAATGCCATGATATTTCTTGACCTTACAAAGGAAAGGTTGCAACAAATGAGAGAGGAAGGATGGAAATCATTAATGGATGAAGTCTCTTTGTTTTGTGCTAAACATGACATTTTGGTGCCCAATATGGAAGAAATCTATATTCCTGGAAAGTCGAAGCGTAGGCCTTCTAGTGTTACTTATTCACATCACTTACGTGTTGAGGTTTTTTATACAATGATTGATTTGCAACTTCAGGAGCTTAACAGTCATTTTGATGTTGTTAGTGGTAACTTGCTTCTTGGTATGGCTAGCTTGAATCCGGCTGATTCGCTTGCTAATTTTGATAAGGAAATAATAATGACATTGGCCAAGTATTATCCAGATGAGTTTGGTGAATTGAAGCTTCGAGATCTTAGTCACCAACTTGACACTTTCATATTGCACATGAAACATGGTGACCCTAGATTCTCAGATTTGAAAGGAATTGGTGATTTGGCAAAAGCGTTGGTTGAAGCAAATCTTGTGGAGAAATATTCACTTGTTTATTTACTTGTGAAGTTGACTCTAATTTTACCTGTCGCGATTGCAATGGTAGAAAGAGCATTCTCATCCATGAAGTACATCAAGGATGAATTGCGTAGTAGTATTGGTGATGCATTTTCAAATGATTGTTTAGTTTGTTACTTTGAAAAGAAGTATTTGAAAATGTAAGCAATGATGCTATTATTGACCGTTTTCAGAGTATGAGAACGCGTCGAGTTCAAGTATAAGTGGATGATGTACTTTTAATATTAGTATCAATTAAAGACATTCTATAATATTGAAGTTTGTATTTTGATATAAGTTGTGCCTTCTTTAGTTCTCTTTTTGGGACAACAGTAGATTACTGTTGTATGTCACGAATTGCTATTAAGGCCATTAAGCTTGTTTTACATTTTAAAGTTTATTCCAGTTTAGTTCATGTGTGCGCAAGGATGTGCAAGATTTTTTCTTTTGGAATGCTTATTTTAAAATTTGTGTTCGTAGGTCAATTTGGGAGTATGATGAAGTTGAAGTTTGTGTTCGCGGGTCAATTGGATAATTCACTCTAATGATAATGGTGCCCCCGTCATTCTCAAATCCTGGGTCCGCCTCTGGTGTCATGTGAGGTGTTCACGGATCACAAGAGTTTTCAATACTTGTTCAAGTAGATGGAGCTAAACTTGAGGTAGAGAAGGTGGTTGGAGTTACTGAAAGACTATGATATCACCATCTTATATCATCCGGGGAAGGCCAATGTGGTGGTCGATGCTTTGAGTAGAAAGTCAACCAGTATGGGCAGTCTTGAATATATTCCGGTCGGTGAGAGACCGCTTGCTTTGGATGTTCAGGCTTTGGCCAGTCAGTTCGTGAGGTTGGATGTCTCTGAGCCCAGCCGTGTGTTAGCTTGCACAGTCGCTCGTTCTTCATTATTTGAGCGTATCCGAGATCGACAGTATGATGATCCTCACTTGTGTGTCCTAAAGGACACGGTGCAGCACGGCGGTGCCAAGCAGGTCACCGTGGGAGATAATGGAGTTTTGAGGATGCAGGGTCGTATTTATGTGCCTAATGTGGATTAACTTCGAGAGTTGATTCTAGAGGAGGCCCATAGTTCCCAGTACTCTATTCATCCGGGAGCCGCTAAGATGTATCAAGATTTGCGGCAGCATTATTGGTGGAGGAGGATGAAGAAGGATATTGTTGCCTATGTAGCTCGGTGTTTGAATTGTCAGCAGGTAAAGTACGAGCATCAGAGACCTGGTGGTTTGTTCCAGAAGAGTGAGATTCCTGAGTGGAAGTGGGAGCATATCACTATGAACTTTGTTGTTGGACTCAGAGGAAGTTCGATGCAGTGTGGGTTATTGTTTATAGGCTGACTAAGTCAGCGCATTTCATTCCTGCGGCAGTCTCCTATTCTTCTGAGAGGTTAGCTGAGATCTATATCCGGGAGATTGTTCGTCTTCATGGTGTGCCCGTGTCTATCATTTCTGATTGAGGTACGCAGTTTACCTCGCATTTCTAGAGGGCAGTTCATCGTGAGATGGGCACACGGGTTGAGTTGAGCACAACATTTCATCCTCACACGGACGGGCAGTCCGAGCGTACTATTCAGATTTTGGAGGATATGCTCCGAGCTTGTGTTATTGACTTTGGAGGCTCGTGGGATCAGTTTTTGCCTTTAGCGGAGTTTGCCTACAACAACAGTTACCAGTCGAGCATTCAGATGGCTCCTTATGAGGCTTTATATGGTAGGCGGTGTCGGTCGCCGGTTGGGTGGTTTGAGCTGGGAGAGGCTCGGTTGTTGGGTACGGATCTAGTACAGGATGTCTTGGACAAGGTCAGGATCATCCAGGATAGGCTTCGTACAGCTTAGTCCAGGCAAAAGAATTATGCCGACCGTAAGGTTCGTGATGTGGCATTCATGGTCGGCGATCGAGTGTTGCTTCGGGTGTCGCCTATGAAGGGCGTGATGAGATTTGGAAAGAAGGGCAAGCTTAGCCCTAGGTTCATTGGCCCGTTTGAGATTCTTGATCGAGTGGGAAAGGTGGCTTACAGACTTGCGTTGCCGCCGAGCTTATCAACCGTGCATCCAGTGTTTCACGTGTCCATGCTTCAGAAGTATCACGGCAATCCATCCCACGTGTTAGATTTCAGCACTGTCCAGTTGGACAAGAACTTGTCCTATGAGGAGGAGCCGGTAGCTATTCTAGACCGGCAGGTTCGTAAGTTGAGATCGAAGAGTTTCCCTTCTGTTCATGTTCAGTGGAGAGGTCAGCCTGCTGAGGCATCGACCTGGGAGTTCGAGTCCGATATGCGGAGCCGATACCCCCATCTTTTCTCCGACTCAGGTACTTCCTTCTTATGTCCGTTCGAGGATGAACGATCGTTTTAGAGGTGGAGAATGTGATGATCCAAAAGGTCATCACTTGTTTTAGAAGTAAATTCTGTGTTCCGAGGCCTTAAAACCTCCTTTTTGCCTCACCTCAATTTGCCTGCGCAGTCCGGACGTGTATCCGGAAAGCCATTATGTGAAAATCTGTGAAAAATAATAAATTTTACTTTTAAAATGAATTTAGGTTGACTTTGGTCAACATTTTGGGTAAACGGACCCGGACCCATGATTAACGGTCCCGGAGGGTCCGTAGGAAAATATGGGACTTGGGCGTATGCCCGGAATCGAAATCCGAAGTCCCAAACGCGAGAAATGAATTTTTGAAGAAAAGTGTTTAACTGAAATTTCTAGAGTTTTTGGAAATTTGAATGTAAATGAATGTGATGGTATCAGGCCCGTATTTTGGTTCCGGAGCCCGATACAGGTCTTATATGTGATTTAAGTTGAGCCTGTAAAATTTGGTAAGAAACGGACTTGAAATGACGTGAATCGAACCTTATTTGAGAAAATTGGAAAATTTGATGTTCTTAAGTGATTTCATGAATTTGAAGCTTAATTCATAGTTATTGATGTTATTTTGATGATTTGATCGCACGAGCAAGTCCGTATGATATTTTTGGACTTGCGTGCATGTTTGGTTTGAAGCCCCGAGGGCTCGGGTGAGTTTTGGATAGGCCACGGAGTGAAATTGAACTTAGGAAGTTGAGGGTTTTCAACTGGTATGTTGCACGTCTGCAAGCTTCGCAAACGTGAAGCCTGGCTTGCAAATGCGAGAAAGCATCGCAAATGCGAAAATCGACCTGGGCTGCCTTGGTCGCAAATGCGATGTCGCATTTACGAAGTTTCCCTCGCAAATGCGAAGGTGACCAGTTTTCTTCAGGGTAAAAATGCGACAAATTCTTCGCAAATGCGAAGAAAGCAGACTTCTGAATTGCGAACCCTGGTCGCAATTGCGGCATCAGAGACCTGCTAAAATGAATTTCAGACGGGATTTCAACCATTTTTACAACCTTTTCAAAACCTAAACACCTTGGGCGATTTTTCAAAGACAAGTACTTTTCCAAATCGATTGTAAGTCATTTCTAACTCATTTTAATTAATCTTTAACATCTTTTCTCATGATTTCAACTCAAAATCAAAGGTTTTCATCGGGGAAATTGGGTGTTTTTGGTAGAACTTAGGTTTTTTAAATTTTGGGAATTTGGACCTCGATTTGAGGTCCGATTTCAAAATAAATTATATTTTTGATTTCGTGGGCGAATGAGTAATTGGGTTTTGGTTTGAACCTCGGGTTTGACCATGTGGGCCCGGGTTCGAATTTTGACTTTTTGGGAAAAACTTTAGGAAACCTATTTTCATGCATTAGAGATGATTCATTTAGCATTTATTGATATAGTTAAGTAACTTGTGGCTAGATACAAGCGAATTGGTCGTGGAATCAAGAGGTAAAGCGGTAGTTGAGGCTTGAATTATGTTCGTGGCATCGAGGAAAGTGTTTAGTCTAACCTTAGCTTGAGGGATTAGGAGTCGTGTCCTATTTGCTATGTGTTAATTATTGAGTACGACGTATAGGCATGGTGATGAGTATCTATTCTTGGTGTCAAGCATGCCCGCGAGTCTTATACCATGATTAATGTGACTCCGTTTTGTATTGTTCATGCCTTATGTGATATTCCTATTGTTGAACAAGGCTTGTGGAAGTAAATTGAGCAATTGAACATTTAAGAGCGTTGGCTCAAGTTGTGAATTGATTTGTGAAAGTATCATTGGTATTTGAACATTTAAGAGCGTTGGCTCAAGTTGTGAATTGATTTGTGAAAGTATCGTTGGTATTTGAACATTGTAGAGCGTTGCCTCAAGTTGTGAATCGAATTGTGAAAGTATCATTGGTAATTGAGCATTTTAGAGCATTGGCTCAAGTAGTAAATTAAGTTGTGAAGTAAATATGAAAAAGAGAAGAGGATTATGATACCGGGATGTTGTTTCTTTTGATATTGTTCCCTTGCCGGTATGTTGTTGCTTTTAATATTGTTCCCTTGCCGGGATGTTGTTGCTTTTGATATTGTTCCCTTGCCGGGATTTTCATTGTGATTTTATTGTGATTCTATTTAATTCCTTGCCCTTATTGTTTGTGATTGTTGTTTGGGTGAGGAAGAGTATTAAAGCATGAAGGGTGATGCCGTGCATTGTTTTGGTGAGAGAGTGTTAAAGCACGAAGGGTGATGTCGTGCATGATATTTTGTGAGAGAGTGTTAATGCACGAAGGGTGATGCCGTGCCGCACGATGTACCATTCTGTGCCTTTATATGAGTGATAATGCACGAAGGATCATTTCGTGCCATGATTTTGTGAGGTAAAAGCACGAAGGGTGATGTCGTGCCGTTTATATTGATATTTGGTGAGGACGAGAGCAAAAGCATGAAGGGTGATGCCGTGCACTTGTCTTGATTTCCTGATTATTGTTGATATTTAAGTTATGGTGTCCTTTACGGTTATCTATTTGTTTCCTGTTGTTACTTGATATCCCCGCAGCATGTCTCTCTCCCCCTCTCTACTTGTAAATTGTAAATTCCTGCCTTTATTTTTCTGCTGTATATGATTTAACTGCACAGGTTTATTTCGTAGTCTGGTCCTAGCCTCGTCACTATTTCGCCAAGGTTAGGCTAGGCACTTACCAGTACATGGGGTCGGTTGTGCTGATACTACACTCTGCACTCTTTTGTGCAGATCCCGGAGCTGTAGCTTTCGGACCGCAGTGAGGTTGCTGCTTCTAGTTCACCAGGCGATCCGAGGTAGT